GCCCAGCCGCCCAGGATTTTCCCGGACATGTTCGACTTTTTGGGATTTCCCCCCGGACGGGGATTTGAATCCCAAAAAGCCGGACATGTCCGGGAAAATCCGGACGTATGGTAACCCTAGCTCTACAGTGAAAACAGATCTGTCTGGGTGCTAATAGAGTCCCCGCTAGATAATTGTAATGGTCCAGTCTGGCCTTAAAATATATGAATCACTCTAGTGTGTGAACACCTTACAAACATTAGTGAATTTATTCTCATAACCCCTCAGTCAGACAGAGAATTATCATCATCATTTTTACAGAAAGGAAACAGAGATGAAGTACTTGCCCAAGGTCACATAGGGAGTCTGTGGCAGATCCGGGAACCCAAATCTCCAGTACCTTAATCACAAGTTCATTCTTCCTTATTATTAGTAACTTAAAGGCCATTCCATTCTGAGAATTAAAGTGAGGGTGGGAGGAGGGGCAGGTGACCTTCCTGAATACAGCTTGGCTTTCTTTGAAAGTTAACTACTTGTGACGCATTGTATCCACCCGATGCTGCCTGATGCATCTAGTGTAAGCATGTGCCTGTAAATTTACTACTGCAATAAAGGGCATGTTTTAATTCACTGCTAGCGGTGTCCATCAAGATATTTATACCCTGCTATGCAATTAGCATGGTATCTGAGTGCTGGAAAATCATTTGTGACACTGTAGTTAGTTAGGTTGGGTCAACATTTCATTTTCCCACTAGTAACAAGGGTTTATTAATTTAGCTGTAAAAACTTATTGTGGGCCGCAGCTTGGTGCAAAAGATCTTGGCTCCCAGTCTTTTTTCATTCCAATGAAAATGTGCCGTCTGCTCCCACTTTCACTTAAAATTTCCTTTTACAAGTGTATTCTGTGGCACAGTTTGCAGCCTTGTAATTTAGACCCATTATGTTTTTTTTTTCTTCCAAGGAGCTAATGTATTTCATAGTTGGAGTTACTTTCTTCTTAAATTACTTGAAAAATATGTCTTTATGGCCCAGAGATTTCTGCGTGTGTATGTTAAGCTGTTGGACTCAACACAACAGATTTAAAGGCACTTTGAGCACTACCTTCATGCCAAATGCAGTCCGCTACCATTTTCCTCTTATTACAGAGCTTGCCCCACAAAAACTATTGGTCCCAGCATGCTCCACCTTGATGTTTGTGCCCTGTCTGCATTATACCCTGGGATCTGCAAGTTGTCCTAACAAGCAGCCAGTGTAGCTCTCCCATCGCCTGTATCAGTTTTTGTGGGCTTTGTAAGTGCAGGCTAAGAGCGAAATCCTTGCTTTTCTTTTCTTACTCGTTCTTATTGAGTCGATGGGAGTTTTGCCTGTGTAAAGATCGAAGGTTTGGCCCAGTGTACGTATTCTCTAGCTCCTTATTACATTACTGAAATGTATCAGCCCAACTGGAGTTATTGTAGCTTTTTAAATAAACATTTTAAAATTAGTGCATTTAAAATTACCAAAATGTTTATTCCGTGGGGCTGTCACGGCCTGTTGGATAAAGAATGCAAACTTTCCAACCTAATATGTCCCAAATCTGTCTTCTCTGGAAAACTTTTACTGTCTCTTGGGGTAAATAAATGCAGATACTTGTTTACCCAAACGCTAAATAACCATGCACACACTAAATACATTGTACCAGAGGAACTATGGGTCTCTTGTAGGAGCATGCAGGGCCAAATGCAGCCTGGGGATTCCTAAAAACAAGCCTGGAACTGCATGAGGAGGATGAAGCTCCTCCACTGAAGTTGTGTAATCTAGTGAATTCAATCGCCATCTTTCAAGGAAGAGAGAAATGCAAATACTTATGTCTGTGTGCATTTATTTTTAAAATGTAAATGTATACACCAATCAGGTAGCAGCGCTGCAGCTTGGCCCGTAAGGGCCACATTTGAAATAGTGGGGTACCCCTAGTCTCTTGGGTTTTCTGTCATAAGCTGTTTTTTTCCTCCTCTCCCTGATGCATATTTAATGTTTATATTGCACTAACAACCCAGAAACTCCTAACAAGGCCTTGATCTTGATGTCGTAGCCTCTGTACAAACACATTTAAACACATGATACTTGCCCCAAAGAGCTGACAATCTACATCATCTTCATTTGGGGACAGGAGGGAAACAGCCAGCTTCAGGCTGAAATAACACGGAGGATGTGACAGATGCTGATGGAAAGAAATTAAATATTAAAGCTGATGCTGTGGCTGTAACTCATTCTGTTTGTTTTTTGTTATACTCCACTCACTTTCCCCTCTGTGTTAAATGACATGATTTAGGACTGAAGTGCCAGCTTTCAGCCTCTAGGTTTTGGTGTTTGGAAATATACGTAGAGAGATATATTGTGTCTCTGAGCATTTATGTGTAGAGGAAGAGAGCACTCCAAAGCCTGTAAGACCACATAAAGATGTTACATAGAGCTGTAATGCGGAACAAAAACATGAAAAGTGCCCTAAAAATTCCCAAGATGGAACAAGACACGATAACTGGCAATTAAAATAAATTCTGGAGTACCAAAGCTGCAGAACCCAAATCACAGTTGACTAAAAGACCTGGCTCTTCCAGAGCGTGGCATAGTTTTTTTAGGTGGCTACAGAGATCTCATTATTGAAGCACACTGAGCTATAATGTGATGTTACCACACTTTCTTTAAAACTCACTGCCACATAACCATCCTTTATGGAAAATAAATAACCTTGATTCCCACTCCCAATGGCGTCTAATCTTCTTGCTGTTGCTGCTTGCAGTCTCGTCAAAGTTTAAAAAAATAAAAATAAAAAAAAATCTTTCCACTTTTTTACCTAGCACCAGATTGTAGTGTCAAAGAAACAGGACTTGGACCTGTGGGGTTTCATGTTTGGTGTAACTGCATATTTACCATTTAAAGCTACTGCTGATGCTTCTAGATATGTATTTGAAACTCCCTTCCCCCCTGCCCGCATGTATTATTTCTTTCTCTCCCTGCCTTAAGCTACTTATTTTCCTCATACAACTGCTTGTCATTGTCTCTCAGGGAAAGAGCAGGACTGGCAGCTGAGTATGTTAGAAGCAGAGCAGTAAATGGTCAAAAGCAGCATGCCCAAAAGACCACCCCTGCTTTATGGCATGATGTAAAAAAATGCTGGAAAAAATCCTTTCCCTCTTAAAAAAACAAACACACACACACACACAGGCTGAAAATCCTGAACAGTAACAACTTTTCAGCCTTTTAATTTTTCTCCCCCGTCCAGTATTTTCTCCGCATAAATTAATTGGGCAGATGTAGCTTCAATTGAACATTGAAACAGACAGGATCGCCTTGGACAGCATCATCATTAGGTTTCAGACTTTGAAGAGAGGGTACCCCAGCAAGAGGACAAATATTTTTGTTAAACTATTGCGAAATATTACAGGAGAGTAAATAAAGTGGCATTGATACTTAAATCCAGTGTTTCACAAACTTCTAGAGGTAGAAACCCTTTTGATAGAACTACTGAAAATGCTTTCAGGACCAACAAGTTTTTTAAAGCTCTGGCCATGGTCCACCGTTCACAGACACTTTTGAGATGCTATTTGTTTGAGGGATGAGGCATATTCTACAAATATCTTCTATTATAATAAAGGGAAAATAAACTTTTTTGTTTTGTGTAAACATTAATACCTATTAATACTCTTCCCCCACTATTATAAACCTCCTCTCAGTAATGCTGATTAAGGAAAGCTACAAGGTAGCTTTCAGGGACACGCATCTACTTGGAAAAGAATCTAGATCCAAGTGAGCGTATAGAGATCAAACTACCGGTTTGCACTTTAGCTAGTTCACAGGTACAGGTGTTCCTTTTTTCCTTTTTCTTATAAAATTCTCTGCGATGCAGCAGCTATTTCTAGAAGCAAGGGAATGTCAGAACAATACGGCACAGCTACTGCAGTATGGCCCCATGAAATGCTCTGAAGCTAACAGTTTGTCGCAGTCTATTAGGAGAGGCGCAATCCATTCTCTGGTCTTTATTATTATTTAGCTTAACTCTTTCCCTCCTTTTGTACCTTTTATTTCAAAAAGGCAGAAATTGAGACAATAATTTTAAAAAAAAACGAGTCCGCACGTAGCACTCCTCCAGGAACAAGAAGGGGGTGAATCCCTTTGTTTGGGTTTTAAATGAGACTGCCATATCCCCAGTACTCCCTTATCCTCTTGAGCTACTGAAGCGAAGCCAAGTTCAGCAGCAGCACCCCAAAGCCCTTGCATACACTTTTATTCTGTAATTATGCTGCAGGTGGAATTTAGATGGCATCTTTATTGCGCTTGAAATGTGTCCTCCTGGTTCTGTGGGAGCAGCATTTGTGCAACTGTGCTCTTCCATGCCGTTACAAATAGCCATTGGGCATCGATCTCAGGCAGTCTCGCTCTGTCCTGCTCCATAAAACCTGGGCCCGAATTGCCTGGCGGATGCCAGTTCCATTACACACGATCCAAGAAGTTAACTGATCCCCCTAATAGTGAATAATTTATCTCTCCATTAGGCAGTAATAAAGTGGTACACTTCACAGAGCACTGCGGTGAGGATAATTTGCATTTCCTCTTTTGGTTACGAGCGACTGCGTGGCCCCCGCCATTTTTTTTTATATTTAAAATTTGATTATTAAAAGTATTTTTCCCTCTTCACCAGAAGCCAACATAATGGCTTTTTCATTTAGAGCGATGTGCTCATACACCGCTTCTCAAACAATCTGTCCTGTTCTGGTTTTGCTTAATGCTATGTAGCGATTATGTTACAGCCTCTCTCAGGTGGCTTTCTTCCCTCCCTTTCCCCACCCCCACCTCCGCTGCAGGAAGTACCATAAAATGCATTTATTCACTCTTTTAAATTGTTTCATTTCAGAGGTTTACAAACGAGGACCACCTGGCGGTTCATAAACACAAGCATGAGATGACATTGAAATTTGGTCCTTCTAGAACCGATTCAGTCATCATAGCAGGTATGTGCTGCTCTGTCCTGGTCAGCTCTGAAAATGGTGCACATTAATATAGCCTGACTGTAAGATTAATACTAGGGACCAGATGTACTGAAAAACGTCTCTACCTCCCATAAAAAGCTCTTGTGATCTGCATTTAATCAGGGGGAAGGAAAGCCAGAGGCTGCTTCCAAGTTTCTACTTTTTTCATTTTTTATGGTAGTATCAGGTTTTGTAGGTTTTTTTTTTTTTTTTTTTTATACTCACCCTTTTTATCAAGACTCTGGAAGATTTACAGACAAAAGGTCTTTCACATTTCTTCATGCACTTTGAGGATGATGAACAAAAGCTGACAAACTCTGTTTCCTCTCCTCAGCCCAGGTGTCAATTTTCTTGAGCTTTTAGGCTGGCAGTTAATAAATTAAAACTCCATCTAGTGCATTGGCTACTGCCGAGAGTGCATTTGTAAAGCCCAAATGAGTTGCTCTGGAATTACTCTACACGGTCAATGCAGCCTTTATAAGATTTGAGAAAAATGTACCTGGTTGTCTGGCAGCGGATCATTGCCCGTTATGGATAGTCTCCCACCCTGTCAATCCTGCTGCATTTTGGTTTCTTAAAAGGGGGCAGGGATTGTGTCACCCATTGAATGAAACTGCTGTTATATTGAAAATGTGAAGGGAGGAGGAAATCTCTTAAATTTTATTTCAAAAACTTCATGTGAGAACCCAGTTTGATCTCTCCTGGGGGCAGAGGGGAGCTCACTAAGTGGACAAACACCGTGTCACCAGATTTGGTGCTCATGAAAGCAGTTGCAACTCAGTCCACTTCTTACGGCCGTGAGATTAATCACTACATAGGGTGGATCTTTACTGAGTTTATCTAGTTTGGGAAAATTTGCGGTAAAGGCAGAAAATACTTCCTAGTGGGGGACATATTGGTTATGGAATAGTATCCATAGAGAAGTGTTGGAATAGTTGTAAATCAGATTGTACAAAACCCTGGCCAGGAAATGCTGGGATGAATATTGAAAACACTTGGATAGTTTTCCTTTCATTCTGTGAAGTTGGAGTTGGAGGCTAAGGGGGACTGCATGGTGCGCAAAGAATGTTCTTTCTCCATTGCTCTACCTCCCAAAAAGGGATATGGAGGACGGATTGCAGTTTTCATTTGATAACTCTGAAGTATAAACTGGCCAACCAGTGATTTGGGGGTCGCGAATTAATAATGATCAATTAATTACGTTTTAGATTTTCTCAGCTCTGATTAAAGTCCTATCTACACTATAGAAAGAAACATGTGTAAGTACAGGATTCTGTTGCTATTAGCAGTGTTCATGATATAACATATATCTTGTTTCCTGGGTGAGCAGAAAGTCTATGTTATAATCATCCATGTTGTACCATAAGTCTTGACTCATTTTTCTAATGCAATTATAATGGGGTTTTCTGTCCATTCAAGAATGCAAGAAAAATAGCATTACACAGCTACATCACACCTGACTCTGACTGAGATTCATATTGGCACATGGTTCTTTCTGTCTTGCAATCTGGAAAGATTAGGGCTGTAGAACTGCTTGTTTACACAAGTAAGTCTTCTCTTCACTGCCAAACAAGGTGTATCTGTTGGGTTTTTTGTAAATCTCGGAGTAGCTAATGTTTGAGATATCCCAACATAAACCACAGTGAAGACAGGGCACTTTAGTTTTTACTTTGAGGTAAAATAGGTGAGAAAAGCAGTATTCCCATCCCTGGGGTTGACCTTGTTTACTTCACCATAAAAATGAAGTTCTGGTCTTCATTGTGTTTACCGCAGCCCCGTGTTTATTAGTTACCCCAAGGTAAAAAAAAAAAAACACCTTTTTTTAGCAGTGAAAACTGGACCTAAAACATGCAGAAAAGACTGAGTCATGTCTTAACACTATATGGATACTCCTACATTGCAACCAGGTCCAAAAGCCTTTTCTGTTTGATATTTATGTGGTAAGTAAAGGACTATTGGTAGGGCCGTAGCAAATTCATGGCCCTGAAAAACACGTCACAGACAGTGAAATCTGGTCTTTTGTATACTTTTACCCTATACAAAACAGATTTCATGGGGGAGACAAGCGTTTCTCGAATTGGGGGTCCCGACCCAAAAGGGGGCTGTGGGAGGGCTGTCACAGGAGGTTATTGTAGGGGGGTTGCAGTATTGCCACCCTTTCTTCTGCATTCCCTTCAGAGCTGGGTGGCCAAAGAGCGGCGACTGCTAGCCGAGGGCCCTGCTCTGCAGGCAGCAGCACAAAAGTAAGGGTGGCAATACTGTGACCCCCCTAACAATAACCTTGCAACCCCCTCACAGCCCCCTTTTGGGTCAGGACCCCTACAGTTACAGCACTGTGAAATTTCAGATTTAAATATCTGAAATCATTACATTTACAATTTTTAAAATCCTATGACTGTGAAATTGACCAAAATGGACCATGAATTTGGAAGGGCCCCAACTATTGGCGGTCTTTATGAACACTGAAGGGCACATTAGTTATAAGCAGCTGGATCTAGGACAAAGCGTAATTTCCTGTGTTCATAAATCCTTTGTAGGACAAACACCATTGTCAACATTTCTGTAACTTCCTTTTCTTATTGATAGCCCCAGTTTTTGGGCTCGGTTGTTGATACAAGGTGGTCTTCATTGAAAGACAGGAGGTTCAACTTATTCCTCTTGTAGCAACTCTGAAGCAAAGCAGAAAAGGGCTGTTTTCCTTAAGCTTCCATCATCAACAAGCAAACAACTTTCTGCTTGATCGATTCAAACAGAATAATATGCTAGTGCTGGGCTCCTGTTAATAACTGGAGTACTGACTAACATCACAAGCAAAAATGAAACTGGCTGAGTGAGCTGTTCTGGATAATCAGGAGACTTTCTGCTGTGTAGACTGAGCTTCAGTTACAAGCTGAATTGTGGCTCCATGGCCCGTGGTCAGCTATATTAAGATTGTACCAAACTGGCCATTTCAGTCTTGCAGAGAGATTATTATAGTGAAGTAAGGTGCTGGTGGTGGTAATTTGCACTTCTATATGGCCTTCCATGCCAAGGATTTCAGAGTAACTTTGTGCATGCTAATTAATCTTCAGCAATTCCTGTGAGCTGGGTGTCATCCCTATTTTACAGATGGAGAAACTAACACACAGAGAGGGTTAGTGACTTGCTCAAGTTCACACAGCAAGTCAGTAGGGTGACCAGACAGCAGATGTGAAAAATCAGGACAGGGGATGGGGGGTAATAGGAGCCTATATAAGAAAAAGACCCAAAAATGGGGACTGTCCCTATAAAATCGGGACATCTGGTCACCCTACAAGTCAGTGCCAGGGCAGTTACTTTAAAAATCACAATACCACGAGGAATTTCTGCTTCTTCTGACTATTATTTTTTTAAAATCTATTATCTTGAGGGACATGCACAAAACATTCTGCTTCCCTGCAGCACCAATTCAGCAACACGTACCAGTCTCAGAGTTGCACTGATGCCAGGGTAGGCCCTGTTTTTAAATAAGGAAGGTGCTACAACACATTGTTTTCAGTTGTAGGGATCTCAGTACAATTTGAAATATGTTATTTATGTTACTGCCATAGTATTTGCCAAAAGGACAACATTAACAGGAAAGTATTGTCGCTTGCTTTGTGAACACAAAGAAAAATCCTAGAGGAAAAACATCCAAGCTTCCTAAAATAACACAACTGAATCTAAATGTTAGGTGTGTATTGGGAGGAAATATTCCTGGTTTGTCTTGTCCTGTGAGAGGAATAGAGTAGTTAAAATTAATCCTGTGACCTGACTTTGATTCTTTTGTTTTTTGTGTTGCAATCTGAACAGATCAGACTCCGACTCCAACCCGTTTTTTGAAGAACTGTGAGGAGGTGGGGCTCTTCAATGAATTGGCCAGTTCCTTTGAGCACGAGTTTAAGAAAGCCACAGAGGATGATGAGAAAAAGGCAAGAGGCAGAAACTACCATTCCAATAAAACTGAAACATTCACAGATTGTAGGGGCTGAAGGGGGAATTATGCTGTTCTGATGAAAGGCATATGTTGTAGGGTAACTAAGTGTTGTTGTCTCATAGATTTAAAATGCTCAGTCACATACTTTATTTAGTAACTTGTGTGACTTTGGCTGTGCTACAGTCTGAGTCCCAGTTAGATCTGATTTTAATAACCTTTTGTTACTACAGTTTTTTGTCGTCGTCATCCCCGCCTCTCCCCTCCCCCCTTTTTTTTTTTAAGTCAGTACCCACAATATCTGATCTCACATGTCCTGGCAAAAGAATGCCTGAGAAGTACCAATACCTTGTTAACCATGTAGGCTCTGATCCAAAGCCCACTGAGCATCTCTTCATTGATTTCAAGATCATTAAAGAGCAATTCCCAGAGCCATGTCTTAAAAGCATGGTTGTGGAAATAACCTTTTTGACCATGTTCTGCCTTTCCTGTCTCCAAAGGATAGGAAAGAAGCCAAGCTTTTGTTGTGTACTTCTTGAGTGGTATGCGTGCTGCATACAAATAGAGAGGAGGTTCCATGACAGAGTAAGAGTTTATAGGTCTAGAAGACAGTAAGATGTCAAGCAACTTAAGCTATTCTTTCCAACCCTTCCACCACTGAATAGCAGCAGATGCATATTGTACAACTGCATTGGTATTTTTTAGACTGGCTTTAACATTTATGAAATTGGTATTTGTACATACATGCGCAGTTGGCAGCTCTGTTCAGAAACACGGCTGCATAAATCCGTTCAACTATAACAAATTCAGAGTTCATAGAATCATAGAATATCAGGGTTGGAAGGGACCTTAGGAGGTCATCTAGTCCAACCCCCTGCTCAAAGCAGGACCAATTCCCAACTAAATCATCCCAGCCAGGGCTTTGTCAAGCCTGACCTTAAAAACCTCCATAGAATCATAGATGGAAAATGTTAAAGTGAAAAATGTTGTCATTCACTCGCTCATTGAGTACCAGGTGTCTTTCAAACATTCGTTGATCTTACATCCTGCATGTGCTGCGGGCCTAGGCACAGTGAGGTGGCATGGTCGTGCTTAACTCTGAATTCCCTGCCTTTCATTAGCTACAGCCCAGAACTTTAATATTCTTTGAGGGTAGCTAGATTTTGTGGTTTTGTGTATAAATGGTTGAGCAACCCACAGTCTAGCCAGTCGTTTTATATGTACGACCACCCATATCCTGTGCTGCCTAATAGCTATAGTTAAGATTCCTAGACTTATGGGTGTTTTGCATTTTTTTTTTTTTTTTTTTTTTAATACAACTGCAGTCAAGATATTTCCAGCATCAGCCAGGAGAATGCAGCAACTCAAAGTATGGGCTGGCTTCAGGCGTAGGAAAAGAATGATCCCTCCTAGAAGGGCCCTGCGCACACTGGAGCTCAGACCCAGATGGTTTGTCACTCAGTGAGCCTGGCTAGAGATGCATTTGTGAGATGCTTTGAACACTTGGCTAAGTTGAGCCCAGTTACCGCTGTTTTGTTTTGTCCTGCTGTTCCAAGGGTGGCCTGGACACCAGCATGTGCGTGTTAATTAAAAACATTGGCATGGGGGGGGGCTCCCCCGGAGGCGTTTTAAGTGGTTTGAAACTTTCCTGAATTTTAATCCCGTCTCTTCTGTGATTTAAGAGTGAAACGTCCCTGCTTAAGAGTCAAGTAAATGGTTACTTCATGTACTGAAGGCAAGGCTGCTGCATAACTTGGCTATAACAGGGCACTCTAGGGCAATGCCATTCAACTAAAGAGATGGCTCATCAGGGAGAAGAGCCATAGATGCCTATTTTGACTCTGTTTCAACTCCCCATCCCACAATGATACAGTGTCCCACAATGTTAGTGTCCGCCCGGTGACGTGGCTTTTTGCCACTCAGACACATCTTCTCTCTCTTTTCCTCTTCCTTGGTGCCTGCTGCAGAGGCTTGGCTGCTCAGCTCTCCCCTGCAGCCTCACCTAAGAACTCCTGATGTCCCTGGCCTTTATGGGATCCATGAACGCCATAAGAGCTGGGGTACTGACGGCGCCACATCCAACTCTGGAGCCACAGGCTGAGTGTCTCTTGCCTTTAGAACAGGGGTGGGCAAACTTTCTGGCCCAAGGGCCACATCTGGGTATGGAAATTGTATGGCGGGCCATGAATGCTCATGAAATTGGGGGTTGGGGTGCGGGGGGGTGAGGGCTCTGGCTGGGGTGCGGGCTCTGGGGTGGGGCTGGGGATGAGGGGCTTGGGGTGCAGGAGGGTGCTCTGGGGTGGGACCGAGGGGTTCGGAGGGCGGAAGGTGGATCAGGGCTGGGGCAGGGGGTTGGGGCATGGAAGGGGGTCAGGGGTGCAGGCTCCAGCCAGCACTTACCTCAAGCAGCTCCCGGAAGCCAGTGGCATGTTCCCCCTCCGGCTCCTACGCGGAGGTGTGGCCAGGCGGCTCTGCGCGCTGCCCCATCCACCAGCTCCCGTTGGCCATGGCTTCCCCTATGCATAGGAGCTGGAGCTGGGACATGCCACTGCTTCCGGGAGCCACGCGGAGCTACAGCACACGCGGAGCGGGGCAAGCCCCAGACCCTGCTCCCCAGGGGGAGTTCGAGGGCCGGATTAAAACGTCTGAAGGGCTGGATGCGGCCCCTGGGCTGTAGTTTGCCCACCCCTGCTTTAGAAATCTGCACTGTACACAAAAAGGCCCCTGTCCCTTGACAGGTCTGTTTCTGTTGTTTGCCTGTATGTGCCATCAACCAGGCAGTTCCTTCATGCTGTCATGAGTGCATTTGCCTCACCCTTCTTCTGGGCAGAGTCTGGTGGAGCTAAGAAATCATTGCTAACTTGTTAAAATGGGGCATGTAGTGCCCTTGAAAACTGTGGTGGCGGGTTGCCAGATTCAGGCATATGGTTAGGTTTTATTTTAATGGGGTGCTCATAGGTATTTAATAACTTGCATGACTCTTTGTTTGCTTTTGATGATCGGGTAATAAAATAATTGAGGCTGATTTATACAATGCTTTACAGCTCTTCTGTGAATGAAAGTGCCTTCTGTAACTTGCAGGCATTTGCTTTGTTACCTGTTCTACTTAGCGGAGCCTTTTTACCAATAGAAAGAATTCCATGTGTATGTGTTACTGAGGAACCACAAAGCACTGGCCTTCTGGCCCAGGGAATGTCTGGGTTTTGTTCTTTGTTTGTACAGCACCTACCACCATGGGGCCCTAGTCCAGGGCTATGGTTTCGACATGCCACTGTAATGCAAATAATAAAAAAAGCCTTTGGTAAATGCTCCTAGGTGCAGTGGCCCTGGAAACTAGTTGTGTGTTTCACTAGTGGTATGAAATAACTTTCATTTTAATGTGTTAATATTTTCCCATTAGAATGCCGGACCTCTGGACATGTCTCTGCCCTCAACCCCAGACGTCAAAATAAAAGAGGAGGAGCCGGTTGAGGTGGATTCTTCTCCTCCAGACAGTCCTGTATCCAGTCCGCAATCCCCACAGATCAAAGAGAAGGTAGGTTTCCTGGGCCATTCCCACTTGCTGTAATTTACCTCTTTCACCAGGAGAACTGATTCTAACTACAATAGAATAAGTTCTTTCTTCACTTAACTGCCAGGGTTTGAGTTGAAGGTTCTGTTCCCCTCCTTAAGCAGGAAAGCGAAGAACTGATTTTACATTAAAACGGATTGTCATTCTTAAGTTTCCACACAGATTCCAATAATGAACTGTTACCTTTTTTTTTTTAAAAAAAAAGAGGGAAGTCACATTCATGGGGAGGCTGGCATCATACTGACCTGGGTAAATCTGAGGAGTTTTTGCAGTCACTGGGGTGTGGGCGATCAAGCCTTGTGGTCAGAGCAGGAGCTATGCCTAATGGTCGGAGCTGAGGGTCAAAACCAAAGACAGCATCAGCTACCAAGCCGAAGGTCAGAGCTGGAAATGGAGTCAGCTACCAAGCCGAAGGTCAGAGTTGGAGACAGTCAAGTGCCAGGCCAGGGGTCTGAGCCAGAGACAGCGTCGGGCATAAGGCAGAGGAGCAGGGACCTGGAATAGGACAGGACTGCAGGAACTGGGAGCAGACAGGGGTCTGGGATGGGAAGACAGGATCCAGGAGCAAGCAGGGAACAGGAACTGGGAGCAGGCAGAAATGCAGGGCTCAGGAGTCAGGTAAGCTGGAGGGGTCCGCAGTGGCACCAGCCAAGGATTCCTCTAGTTGCTCGGACAACTTCCTGGTTCATATAGTACTCCTTAGCCAATAGGGGAGCTTTGGGGGCGGGCTAGCCCTTCTCAGGATCCTTCACTAGTTACTCAGGTGAGCTGGTGGGTGGCGGGTGGCAGCTGTGGTCTGAATTCTGCCTGGGGACCTGTGGGCCCAGGTTCGAGGACTGGGATCCCTCACAGGTTTCTTCGGATGAGAAAAATCTCTGAATAAATAAAGCAGTTTTTACAGTAATCCTCACTGTGCTCTGAGGATTGTTGTAGTGGCCCAGAACATGCACCTATAGAATAATATAGGTGGCAAAACTGCTGGTTGCATAATTACGCTTTGTACCTATTCCAGCTTGGGCTGGAGCCACTAGTTTTTAGAGGAGGTGGAGTGTCTAACAATTTCTGCAGGACTCTGGGGGTTGGGACTTTGGGGTTCTATTCCCGGCTCTGTCACTGAATCTCTGTAACCTTGGCTAAGTCCCTTCCCCACTCTGTGTCCGTTTCCCTATTAGGGTGTTGTGAAAGTTGGTTTAATGTTTCTAAATCACTCAGGTTCTCAGAAGAACGATGTGAGAGAAGGGTATATTATTACGATGAGGCTGATAAAGTATCTGTCCTTATTTTTGTTTGTTGATTCTCTTTAGGAGATCACTTCAAAGCCTGTTATAATTTCTACTCCTACTCCAACCATCATGCGTCCAGGGTCACTGCCACTACATTTGGGATATGACCCGCTACATCCCACTCTCCCCTCCCCAACCTCTGTCATCACCCAGGCTCCACCTTCCAACAGACAGCTTGGGTAAGAAAGATGCTAAGACTTGGACCGAGATTTTAAATATTAGGTGTATAAAGTCAGGCTTTTTAAGTCTGTATTTAAGCGCATAAATGTTACCTGATTGTCAAAAGCGCTGAGCTATGTGCAACTTCCACTGTAGTTCCATGTGTTTCGGGGCCTAACTGTAATGCTGTCATGAGAACTAGTTATAACATAAATTAAACTAGGGCAACCCCAGGGAAAGATTAAGCTTGATAAGTTTATGGAGGGGATGGTTTGATGGGATAACGTGATTTTAGTCAATAGGTCAATAACGTGCCATCGCAGGTAATTAGTATCAATGGTCAATGCGGGTCTGGCTGGAGAATCTTGCCCGCATGCTCGGGGTTCTGCTGATCGCCATATTTGGGGTCGGGAAGGAATTTTCCTCCAGGGTAGATTGGCACAGGCCCTGGAGGTTTTTCGCCTTCCTCCACAGCATGGGGCAGGGGTCGCTTGCTGGAGGATTCTCTGCGACTTGAAGTCTTCAAATCATGATTTGGGGACTTCAACAGCTGAGTCAAGGGAGAGAATTATTCCAGGAGTGGGTGGGTCAGCTTTTGTGGCCTGCATCGTGCGAGAGGTCAGACTAGATGATCATAATGGTCCCTTCTGACCTTAAAGTCTGTGAGTCTATGAGTCTATGAGTAAAAACAGTCCAATCCTGATATCCTTCCACTGGCAATGCCTTCACTGCATGTGATATAGGAGGTTTGCCCAGCTAAGGACTTCAGAACTGTACTTTCCCAGATTCATTTTGCCAGAGGAGCATGAGTTGCCTTTGCTACCCGATTAAAAGGATAAGAAGACTTAGATAAAACTGCAAAGTGGTTGAATCTTTAATGTTTTGGGGATTTTCCAAGACAGCTGTTGCTTCTGAAGTGAAACCTCTACAACCTGTTGGCCTCCTTCAAAGTCAGGTTTTGCTTCTGTAGCTATTTGTTTTCAGATAACCTAATGACCTGCTCTTCTTGCCCCTGGAGTAATCTAGGCTCAAGAGCATTCAGTGCAGTGGTTATGAGCGCATTGCACTGTGGGGTAGTTTCAACCCTATATATAAAAGGAAGGCGCCTAAGTGATCCAGGAAATAAATTACAATGGGCCTTCAGGAGAGGTATATTTAGCCCTCTCGCTGTTCTTTGGTGTCAGGATGCTTCTGTTGTGCCATGGTTGTTACTTCTTTCTAATTACCCTCTTTGGATCTCGGTCTTTGCATTAACAAGGCCATTTTTTTGGCTGCCAATTCATATTTTTGTGTGTGTTTGTTTTGACCCCATGGCACCATCAGTCCAGACTTCCTGACGGAAAGGTCTAAATCCTGTCTCCAGGCACCTTAAGGGTTAAGTGATTGTCTTTGTGTTTTGAGAGTGTGTTGTGTTTGTTTTCCATAAACTAGACTCAAGCTCAGGTGTAATGCTGTCTTCTGGAGTTGAGGCACCAGAGCATTGCCCTGCTTGGAGAAACAGAGAAATAAAATCAGGACAGTCCATGTATTGAAGCTACAAAGTTAGGCCTGTAGTGGAACTTGCAGGGATGTCAATGGGACTGGGAATGAGGGCAGGGTATGAACTTTCTGTAGCTAAACTTTTGGACTGGGATTTTCAAAATAGCCTGAAGGATCTGGATACCCAGTTTCTATGAGAATTGAATGTCCAGATTCCCTACGTGGCTTTGAAAGTCCCACCCCTAGTCGGTAAAGGTATGAACTTCAATCTGGACCAGTTTACCCCCTCTGACTTTCACTCCCACCCCATCTCGCCATTACCTCAGCACAGACCCCACAGTGTAATGTTCTTAGCTTAGCCAGCAGCGACTCATCATCCCTCTCATCGGGGCTAGGAAGAAGGGATGGTAGCAGCGGATTTTCTCCCCACTGCCCAGATGCCTGCTCGGCACCAGCCCTGCTCTTCCTCTCCTAGCTGTTCTCTCCGCCTCCATCTTATGCTGTCACGAGCAGGGGAGAAATAGGAGAATCTCCCCTAATAAAAAATAGGGGAAAATGCAAGGAGACCACTGTCCTGACCATGTAAGTTCAGAAGCAGCTCTTTCTTCCCTCTCCCACACTCTTTGGACAGGGACTTTTCAAATGGTGGGGTCAGGGGGAGAGAGGATATCACTGCAAGTCATCACTCTTAAATAGTAGTGCACTCTACATCGAGGTAGGCTGCCCCCATCCCTTATTTGGCACTGCATTCAGAAGCTGGATAAGCACTTTAGCTGGGTGTTTCTGCAAAATGAACAGCAGGGGGAAAGGTTGTTGGCATTTTTAACTGTCGTAATTAGGCTTCAGCGTAAACACCCCTTGGCAATGAATGGAGCTCTTCATGTTTCTCAGATCTATTGTTTCAGGCGTTCTGCAGACACAGCCGTCTGTTTAGAATGTTTTCTCTGAGGGTTAGCAGTGTTTTTAAATGAAAGTCAAATGAATGCACAACCTCATTCTGCCATGAGGGCTGTATTAGTGCATCTCTCTAGCCAGAAATTTATCAGTATGTAGGAACAGTTGATCTAGTACCCCAGCCTGCCTCGTGCATCTGGGCATATGCCAGTAGAGGGCACCAAAGCAGCAGCAAGACTCCACTGAATAGCCCAGCAGCTACAGCAGAGCATCAAGGGCACATTTACGTGTCCTGGTGAGTGTTACGTTGCTCCCCTGAAAACTATGACTGAAACCCAGCATTGGTACTATTTGCTTTGCTGTGTGTTTTGGAGCAGAGCTTCTGTTTGCACTGGCACAGGGAGAACTCAGGTGGCCTACTTCCTCCTTCTCCTAAAACAGAGAGCTCAATGTGTAATATTTGGTTATCCTCACCCTCTGTTCAGATGAGTCCAGCTTATTAAAGTCCAACATCCCTTCTTAGGGGCATCTGGTCTTTGTGCTTTAGCAGCCTTATGCTTTTTGGCAAGCAGGCCAGCAAGCTTACATAGAGGAGTTAAATAAGGAGAGCCGTAATTCTTCCATCAGCATGTCCTGCCAGCACCAACCAACAAATGGTTGTTAGACAACTTTGCCTGGATACCCAAAATGTGATGTTAGCACATGTCAGTTAATACATTCTAAGAATCTCATGTAGAGAAGGCAATGTATGCTTTAACACATGGTAAACTAGGCTTTAATTCGACCAATTTAGCACTTTGTTTATGCTAGACTTTTAGAACATGTAAATTAGCCTGTGTTAGCTACCATAATGCCTTAAATCCTAGACTAGACAAGGCTAGAAATCGCCTGTATCTTGGTGGGGTTGGGTGGGGGCTACTTAGTCTTGTCTGTACAGTATAAACTTGAATTGACATATGTGAGCTTGAATTGTGTTTCTCCAGGTCTCCCACGGGCTCCCTCCCACTTGTCATGCACCTCGCGAACGGACAGACCATGCCTGTCCTCCCTGGCCCTCCTGTACAGATGCCTTCTGTTATATCGGTAAGAGAAACTTCCAGCACATTCTCTGTGGTAAAGAAGGGGACAGCTTTTCTCCTGCCCAACATATGCAGACGCTTTCATTTGCAAAATTAAAATACATCTACCCCTCTGTGTGAGATAAGCCTGAAGTGGAAGTGGGCAAGGGCTGATGCTAGCAAGGTAATAATAACACGCCAGTCACACTAGAGGGATATAAGGCTGAAAAATAAAGCGTGGTCTGGGCAGATGGCTCACACCATTGATCCAGGACTGGGAACTGCAGGGTCCCTGATTAGTTGGTTGCATTTGGAACGGAATGCCTCAATTGAAACCATTCGAGCTTACAGAGAACATGTTAGTCTTTGCAGGCCAGGAAAACCGGCCCAGCCTGGGCAGTGTGCGAAATGGTAATTTATATTTAACACTGCAGGTTTTACTTCAGCCTAAGGAGAATTTTTCAGGATACAAAATTCACAAATAAATATACCTTCTGGTGGGCTTGTGTGTGTTGAGTGAGTCAGGGCTATGCAAATCCTGTGTCTCCTGCTGGGCGGGTATTTTGTGTTCTGAGTGGGTAATTCCAATAAACTAGTGCCTCAGGTAGTAGGACTGCTGAAGTTGCAATCCACCAGTGGGGATGGGGGGGATGCACATCTGAATGGCCAGTAGGCAAAGAGTTTGGCATTTAGGACATCTCTGTATTTTCTTGAAGTATAACTCATGCTCCTAGCACCTTTCATCAGAGTATTTCAGTGTGTCTTATAAAACAGAACTAAAGCTCCATTTCCCCCTTTTAGGTAAGCCAGGCAAATATGCCTGTTTTACAGATGGGGAAGCTAAAACTTAACCAGGATGTTGCTGGAAGTCCATGGTAGAACTGGGCTTAGAACCCAGATGTCCCAGTTTTCACATTCCTCTAACGGCCACCTGGCAGCACTGCACCCTGTGGTGTACAGGTTTTCTGGGTGTGAGGGAAATGAAGGAGACCTTTCACGATATTTTGCCACCAAGTACAGTATATTTCGCTTTCTGTCCTCAGCTGTTGGTTGCCGTTGCTGTGTTCTCTTAAATAGCAGCTGTGGCCACCACAAAGGTGACTGCCCACCTTTGAGTGACTGACGAAACAATCCCCGTGGCCATAGTTCTAAAGTTTGTCAAACGCTCTAGGCTCTCTGCATTAAAGGTGCTTTGTCAAATGATTATTATGATGCCATTTCATGCGGGACGCTTCCAGTAGCAATGACGTCACTTCTCAAAATGTGTGTGCTCTTTTCTCTCCATGTAGCTGGCTAGGCCAGTGTCCATGGTGCCCAACATCCCGGGTATTCCTGGTCCACCCATCAACAGCAGTGGTTCCATTTCACCATCAGGCCTTCCAATGCACTCTGAGGCTAAAATGGTGAGTTCCAGAACATAGAGAGAAGCCTGTTGACCTGTGCCAGGGAAGATTGCTTTGGGGGATATATTCATAGAATTGTCGTAAAAGCCTTCACTTAATCTCGGTTAGACCCTTCAGAAAAGAGGTCATGGCCCTCTCATCCTTCTAAAGAGACACCAAAAGCTCTTGAATAGATAAGCCCAAATTAGTGAGTTTAGACCGCTCCCCCCTGAAATCCTTTGCAGCAGTAAAAGCACTGTAGGAACACTAAGAGCAGGTGTTATAAATATATAAAAAAGTATTAGGCTGTTCTTCATTAAATCACCCAGCACTGCCAGTTATATGGACCTTACATATCAATGTCAAGGGAAAGATTCCTGATCCGATCTTAAATATGGGACACGTTGTAAAGCAGTGGATTCCTGTTCCAGTATGACAGATGGGGTGGAGATGGGGGGGAGGGAGGAGAGAGCCAAGAGGGGAGCGGCTGTGCTGTAGTGATCTGGCAGAGGACTCTAATAATGGTTTTCAGTGGGATGCTCTTCCAACTGTAGATTTATGAAGGAATTTCTTTCTCCGCTTCCCCGGCTCTTACAGCACAAGTGCTAGGTGCACACAGGAGGAAGAAGGAAAGTAGGGATGAGGCGGAGGGAAAAGTAAGTTTGGATACAAAGACGGTGAAAGCACGTTTGTCTTGCTGAAATAATGTCAGCGTGGACTTGTTTGCAGTCAGGGCTTCCACATTATTATGCTCTCCATTGCTGCAGTGACCTTGGTGCTTACAGTAACCGCTACTACAATTCCACACTAGCTAGGCGTTTGCAAAGATTCATTCTGCATTCGTGCACTGAGCTGAAACTAGAGCAGGGGTGGGCAAACTTTTTGGGCCAAGGGCCACATCTGGGTGGGGAAATGGTATGCAGGGCCGGGGCAGGGGGTTGGAGTGCGGGGTGTGGGAGGGGGTGCGGTGTGCAGGAAGGGGCTCAGGGCAAGAGATTGGGGCAGAGGAGGGGTGCGGGGTGTACGAGGGGGCTCAGGGTAGGGAGTTGGGGTGCAGGAGGGTTGCGAGGTGCAGGCAGGGGGCTTAGGGCAGGGAGCTTGGGGGTGGGGTGGAGGAGGGATTCGGGCTCTGGCCTGGCGCTGCTACCTAAAGCAGCTCCAGGGTGGCAGCGGTGTGCACCGGGGCCAGGGCAGGCTCCCTGCATGCCTGCCCTGTCCCCGGCCCCACGCCGCTCCAAGAAGTGCTGTGGCCCCTGGGGGAGGGGAGGGCGGAGAACTCCACGTGCGCTGCCCTTGCTGCATCTCCAGGTACCTCCCCAGAAGCTTGCATTGGCTGCGGTTCCCTGTTCCCGGCCAATGGGAGCTGCGGGGGACGGTGCCTGGAGGCAAGGGCAACGCACGGAGCCCTCTGCCCCCCCGCCCAGGGGCCGCAGGGACGTGGTACCGGCTGCTTCTGAGAGCGGCGCGGGGCCCACAGCGCCACAGGAGGCCATCCTGCGGGCCGGATCCAAAGCCCTGAGGGGCTGGATCTGGCCCGCGGGCCGTAGTTTGCCCACCCCTGAACTAGAGCATTGTGGGGGATAGGAGGGTAAGAATTCTTAAACTCTGTTATGTGTGTAACAATATGCCCATGCTTCAGTCTCTTTTCACCTGGGTTAGTGATTGTGTTAGTGAAGACCTCTCTTAACAAAGCTGTGCAAACTTGTTCCCTGCTGTGTCCCTCCCCATGTGTCAGATCCACCTCTTAGCATCTGAAGGCTGTTCAGTCTCCACAGTCCATTTGGTCCATTGTCCTTCTGCAGAGACTGCCAGCTGGGGAGCTGATGAGTGCCAGTTGCTGTAGTGATTTTGTGATGTGGACACCTGTCTATTCTGAACTGGATTGAGAACCACCATCTATCTTCACGTGGGCCACCCAACACCTGCCAGATAACAGCTTTTGGCTGGATTTGAATCATCCTTTGAAAAGAGCGAAGAATAAGTTATGTTAGGGCCTGTGTCTCCGAGGCGAATGGAGAACCCCATTGACAGTTCTGTTCTCTCATTTTACAGAGACTGAAGGCCAGCCTGACGCACCAGGTTTCTTCTTCACTGAATGGCGGCAGCATGGTTGTGGGGTCAGCAAGCACGATGGTGACCTCACGTCCAGAGCAGGGTCAGATACTTCTCCAGCACCCCGATGCACCTTCTCCAGCTCAGCCACAGGTCTGCTCCTTCTTAATCTTCGAAGCTATGATGGCTTAAAGCAGTGGTTCTCAAACTTTTGTACTGGTGACCCCTTTCACATAGCAAGCCTCTGAGGGCGACCCCCCCCTTATAAATTAAAACACACTTTTGTATATTTAACATCATTATAAATGCTGGAGGCAAAGCAGGGTTTGGGGTGGAGACTGACAGCTCACGACCCCCCATGTAATAACCTCATGAGTCCTGGAGGGAGGGATAGCTCAGTGGTTTGAGCATTGGCCTGCTAAACCCAGGGTTGTGAGTTCAATCCTTGAGGGGGCCTCTTAAGGATCTGGGGCAAAATCAGTACTTGGTCCTGCTAGTGAAGGCAGGGGGCTGGACTCGATGACCTTTCGGGGTCCCTTCCTTCTCTATATTATATTATATTATAGTATTATAACCCCCAGTTTGAGAACCCCTGGCTTAAAGTGATGATGGAGGAAGCAAAGATACTGGTACTTCTAGTCTGTTAGGAAAGGGGGGGGAATAACTTCATGAATCTGTCACTCTCTGCTCAGACCTATATGCTTTCCAGTGTGCAGAGCTGTGGGGTTTTGAGGTGGGGTTTTGGGGGCTTGGGTGTGTGTGTGAAACACTCCTTTTTGTAGTTTCTGTTACCATCTCTGTCAAACAGTCCAAGTTAGACTTAGGCAACAGGCACAGTTACTTGATGTGTTCTGGAGTTTAGAAAGAGTGTTTTGCTGTCCTCTCCTTTTTAATTACTAGGGTTAAGCACTCCCCTTTTAGGCAATCAACCCCACTTGCTCCTGCCAGCTAACCAAATGCCAGCCCTCCATCAGAATTGCCACCTGCTCCATCAGTTAGACAGGCTTCCAAAAGTTTAATATCCATATGCTGACTGACAGTGAGTAGTGAAGTGTAACTGGGCTCTCACATTGTGGCTGTGTAATTACAGAGCCGATGCAGTAGTGCTGGGAGGACTGAGTCTGGGGTGATTTGTCCTTGTTGGTTTTTCCTTTGTTCCCTCAGAATACAGCAGGAGATTGCAGTGTTACAGAATCCACTCTTAAGTGCCTGTAAGACTTTGTACAATGATGTTGGAGCACAGCTGAAGATTGGCTGTGTTACACAAAAGCCCGTATTCCCTTGCAGTAGTGTTGTGTGTATCTGTAAAGGTGGCTCTGTTGAGTTGTTTCCCTCTCACATTGTAACCTGTGGTAAATTCCAACAATATGAAGCTGAATAGTCTTTTTTTTTTCTTTTTAATTTTTTTGACTGAGGCAGATGCTAGGGGCTGAATTCTAGTGCTGGTGGAAATAAGGATTAAACCAGATGTGCTCTTCAGACTTCTCCCTCACAGCTCCTCCCTGGCCACAGTTCCAATCAGCATTGCCTCCTGCTCATCCATGATACTAACTCCTCTCCTCACCCTCTCACCCTCCCTGCGGTTCTACTCTTGAGGCTTCTGTCCTTGCAAATTGTGGTAGTGACTTTGTGATGTGGACAAATATCTACTGAAAATCAGACTGAGGCCAATCAACTTCCTTCCACTTAATGACCTGAGGTGGGATTTAAACTGTAGTCTTGTTAGAAAAGTGAGCATATTTAATCCACTGCAAGAAATACTGTCTGGTTCCTCTCCCAAACCCATAATATTCTAATATCCACCACTTGACTGGAGATCTCCACTGTATGTTAAAAATATTCAAATGATCCTGACACTGAGATAGTAGCTCAGAACTGAAACTTCATTGCGCATCTAGTACATATTGCCCATCCATCAACACATGTCACAAGATTCGGTACTTGGGAGGAAGGCTAAGGTGCAGGACTGAGAATCAGGGAAGCTGGGTCTCCATCAGAGACTCCCAGTGTTACCCTAAGCAAGTCACTTAATCTCTCTCCCTCACTTTCCCTGTCTGTAGAATAAGTCTCAACAAATCTGTTTGGACCTAATTCATTAATGTCTGTAAAGTACCTTGAGAACACTGGAAGCTGCTCTAGAAAAACAGAGTGTTTTTTAGTTTCGGAATCAGCAGCTGACAGATCCTACATCCTGACTCTCCAAGCCAATTGGAATTTGCTCTGGACTTAGTACAATCAGTGTGGATAACTGTCTGGTTTAATCAAGTGTGTGTTTTGGTTCAGTAATTCTCTTCCTTCTGTCCTAACTCCAGGTTTCCCCTGCTCAGCCCACACCTAGCACCGGTGGCCGGCGGAGACGCACGATGGATGAAGACCCGGATGAGCGCAGGCAGCGTTTCCTGGAGCGGAACCGTGCTGCAGCCTCTCGTTGCCGTCAGAAACGCAAGCTGTGGGTGTCTTCTCTGGAAAAGAAAGCAGAGGAGCTCACGACACAGAACATCCAGCTGAGTGTGAGTATGTAACCACGGAGGCCAAGCCCATCTGCTTGGCTGCACTGCGGCCTTCACTCCAAGGAGGACGTTTTTACCATGGTGCAGAGGCACTGTGTGCTCTGGTGGTGGTCTTTAGTCTGTGAGAAACCAGAATCAGGTGACTAGGAATGTTGCAGGGTTTTTTGTAACGTGTTTATTTTTTCTGTGCTTGATTCACAAAGGCTTGTGTATGTGCCTCTGGCAATGGAAACCAGTATTTGTAAAGGACCATCAAGTCCTGGATAAGCCAAAGGTGTAAGAAAAGGAGCAGGTGGAATTTCATATCACCATTTCCAACCCCCTCCGCTGCACACAATACATAAGAGCTGCGCACCCGGTCTTGCCCTGAAAAGGTTGAAGGGAGTAAGGGAGAATCTAGCATTGTGCCCTACCACTCATCCTCTCAAGACTGCACCCTGGAACATTCAGCTGCTCCAGCCACAGGAGATAGGTGCTGCAACAGTGCAAAGGCACCAGGAAACTCCCCCAGCTTGGGAAGAGTTGTCAACTGGCACAAAGTCAGGCTAACTGGCTTCTGCTCTGTTCTCTGCCGCTTGGGACTGGAGCCACAGGCAAGCAAAGAGGGAGCTGCAGCCAAGGCCCAGGGCAATTCCGATTCTCCTTGAAAATCGGGGCGCTCTAACTAGCTCCCTGACAGCTTCTCTCCTGCTGTGCCAAGCAGAACTATGCGTAATTCCCTTCCCATCGCAATTAGTCCCCTTATTAATGCTCTCAGCAGACAGGCGAAGGACAGAAAGGATTCTGAAGACTGAACTCACGTCCGGTGTGGGCTGTTTCCCCCTCTGGCTTTCAGTGACTCATGCAGTGTGCTTCAATAGCACTAATTACGATATATTCATTCTCTTTGTCACGCTGTCTGGAGTGGCTCACAACTGTGAATGCAGCCTGTCAAAAACAGGACAGATACCCCAAGCTGGTGGTGTGTTCTGTAATTAGATTTCACCAAACTAGTAACAAATGTGAACTCCTGGATCACTATACCAGTCTTGCCATGGAGTCACAGACCAACTTAGACTCTCCGGACTATCTTGCCACCCAGACAAACGGAACTTCGTGATAATGGTCACTTACACCAAAAATCACACCACATCAGGTTGCTCCAGTTCCAAGAGACCAGCCACTTACCCCAGATCAACTGGTACTCTGGATCTTACACCAAAGACAACCCTAGCACTTGCAACCAATAGTAAATTAACTAAAGGTTTATTAGCTAAGAAAAAAGAATGAGAGTTATTGAGAGATTAAAGCAGGTAAAAGATCTGTCCAGGTGAATCACAGTTTGTAACTCCGAATGGTGGCAGGGGATGGAGGGGAGGGATAGCTAGTGGTTTGAGCATTGGCCTGCTAAACCCAGGGTTGTGAGTTCAATCCTTGAGGGGGCCATTTAGGGAACGGGGGTAAAAATCTGTTTGGGGATTGGTCCTGCTTTGAGCAGGGGGTTGGACTAGAAGACCTCCTGAGGTCCCTTCCAACCCTGATGTTCTATGATTCTATCATATAGTAAACTGCCAGTTTCCCAAAAGTCTTTCAAGGGTACCTAGATTGTCTCTAGGGATTTCTGCTTTATATCTGGTACACTTCCCTGTCAGAGTCCAAAGATGCAGGAACTTTCTTTGAATCCCTTCTTATAGCTTCTTCTCACAGAAAGCAAGCGGTCAGTCTCTCTTCCCAGTGGGCTTTTCCTTTGATGACAGTGAGTGAGGAATGCACTTCGAGTCTTAGACCTCCAGTCATCACACACAATGGTCATTTGCTTTGTAATTAGCACTTTTTCTGATAAAGTCCTTCATTAGCATTCCACAAGGCTTCTTTGATGTCTGATGAGTTATTTAGTTACAGCGGTATTTACAATTTAAAAGTTTGATGTCGCATCATAACAGGATACAGATGAGAGAAAACAATGCACTTAACATCCCATTAGTTTTATGAAGTTTAAACACCCAAAACACATATACATTTAACAATCGCTTTGATCTATACTAATACATAAGTGAATTGGCCTGAATACACTCTGACATGACCTGGTCTGCCAGCGTCATACTTGTCACAAGGTAATTGTAGAAACTGTTTTCCTAGCCAAGTTCAAAGTGCAGTTGACTGGGTTTTCCAGATACAGGGGGACAAATGTTAAGCACATCTCAAATTTCAATTACAACATGCTCTCTGAAATTTTCAGGGGAAAAATTTTCAACTAATGGCTGAGAGTTAACCTGAAGTTTTTGAAAGCATGAACATTTTTTGTTTTGGTGTTGAAAGGGATGAGAAAGGGATGGAATTGGCTTCAGAATGGATCACTGCTTGCACCTTAATCGTGGGGAGGTGACAGAAAGGAAGGATGGCCTATTGGTTACTGTGCAAACCTGGGACCTGGAGTCAATTTCCTCCTCTGCTACAGACTTTCTGTTGTGACCTTGGGCACATCACTTAGTCTCTCTGTGTCTCAGTTCACCACCTATTAAATGGGAGCCATAGTAAGTACTTTAGATGGATAGATATAGGTCTGAGCAGCCTCCACCCAAGTATATAACAGGCTGACACCTACAGACTCCTCCATATTAAAGGTAAGAGTGGCTGTCGTGTTCTGAACAACTGGAGGTGGGCCTTGGGGTCCTGTTTTGTTGCCGGTGTTGCCCTTGATATACCAAAGAACAGACATCCCTGATATGGTTTTACTCTGTATAGCTGCTCATGGTCAGTCCTCATTAATGATCATCTTAGAAAGATTTTTTGGCCTTCAGAGAGAGATGCCACTTGAATTTTTAGCTTTCCATCAGGGTCAACAAAATATTGCATTGACTCTTATTGTTAGCATTTCTTCCATTGGTGGTGGTAGCAGGCGCATACAGACTAATTTACATCTGGAACTTGGGATTTCTCGGTAAGGTACAGGTCTGTAAGAGGACAACCTTGCAAAGCATGTTTTGTATGCACACTCACTCACACACACACAACTTTTTATTAAGGTGTTAATTTGTGATGACCAGAGTCTGTAGACCTCAAATGACGCAAGAGTTTGGTGGTAAACTTTGAAGAGTCTACATGTTCGTATTCTGCCATTGCTAAGGGATATTATTCCGAACACTCATGATCCCTATAAATGTTGTTTTATTTACCTCAGAATGAAGTTACACTACTGAGGAATGAAGTTGCTCAACTTAAACAGCTACTGTTGGCTCACAAGGACTGCCCAGTCACTGCACTACAGAAAAAAACACAGGGGTATCTTGGTGAGTTGTGACTTGCCCATGTCGGCACTGCACCTTAGAGTACATCTGAGTAGAATTAAACCCGAATACAAGACTTACATGAACTTAGTGTTCCTGAAGGATGCTGGACTGACAGCCCTGTGGGCTGGTGTCCTCTGCAGAACCAGGTAAAGCACAAGCAATAGCAGTGCAGGTTTCTCCCATGCTGTACCTGGCCAATGTGCCTTATCCCTGCACTGAAGCAAGCCGCATCGAGGTGGTGACAGGGGAGTTCTGCCCTGGGTTTCTCTGATGCTCCCAACGAGATCTCCAATTAGTGTCAATTGTTGTGGCAGTTCTTATGATGTGGGCCCCTGTCCATTAGAAACTGGACTTAAAACAGACAACTCACTTTGTGTAGGAACAATAATAGTGGTAACATTCTGTCACTACCAATTTTGCTCCAAGACATTGTATAGCAGGCGATTAGTATCATGCGGATGACGGCAGTGTAAACGCTTTGATAATATAACATATTTTTCCTTTTGTCAGTATGTTTCCCTGTAGCATGAATTATTCTACATGCATCCATCACTCAGACTCCCATTTCTCCCATGAATCTGGTCCATTGTTGCCCCGAACGCTAGGTGTCCTTATCCATTGTTTTATATTGCTCAGTGTTGGAAACGAACGCTGCTGTTTTAAGTGCAGTTGCTGTCGAAAAGTCCAGACTATATAAATGATATCATGGGGTTCCATATTCATCTTCTCTGCAGTTCACATCAAACTGGTTCAGTTTACAAGTGAGAAGACATCTTTATTTTAAACTGCCTGCCAGTAGAGAGACATGGTGGGTGAGGTAGCATCTTGTATTGGACCAGCTTCTGTTAATGAAAGAAACAAGCTTTCAAGCATACACAGAGCTCTTCTTCATGTCTGGAAAACATACTCAGTGTTACAGCTAAATACAAGGTGGAACAGATTGTTTAGCATAAGGAGTTAACACATATTTCAAGGGGACCATTCAAGGCCCGTTACCACCCCTCCAGTCATAGGGAGTCTTAGTTCTCGCTATGACTGGAAGGGTGTTAGCAAGCCTCTTCTCCTTGAATGGATCATCTGTTCCATCTTGAGGGCATATCTACGCTACAAAATTAAATTGACCAAAATTATGTTGAGGTACAGCCACCGCAGTAATTAAATCGCTTTTGCATGTCCACACTGTGCTCCTTGTGTCGGGGTGTGTGTGTCCTCACTAGCGGCGCTTGCATCGATGCTGAGAGCAGTGCATCATGGGTCGCTATCCCACTATGCAACGCGCCACCATGTGGGGCAGGGTGTTTTGGGAAGGGTTTGCAAAGCTTCATGGGGCAATCGAGTTGCGCAGGGATGACTGGTAACATGGTTTCAACATCCCATGATAAGAGTTTTCTCCATCCCACAATGTTTCACGCCTCTTTTCAAAAGCTTCCCAAACCTGCATATCCGCCATCTCTGTGAGATGCATGGATCCTGCACTGCTCTTCAGCATTGTGCTGACCATTATGAACACAATGCGCCTGATCCTTCAGTATTTTCAGAGCCGCCAGAGGAGCTGCGAGGGATAGGACGATGCCTTGCAGGCTGCCTTGCTGACGGACAAAGAAAGAAACAATTCAAGGTGGTTGTTGGCATTCACCGAGCAGTTGCCAGATGGTGGAGCGCTGGTTCTGGGCCCAAGAAACAAGCACCGGTTTGGGATGATGAGCAGTGACTGCAAAGCTTTCAGATGCTCCAGGCCACGTTCATGGAATTGTGTCCCCAGCCCTCCAGCGCAGCAACATTAAATGAGAGCCACGTTCACGGTGGAGAAGAAAGTGGCGAGCGCTGTATGGAAGCTGGCCACACCAGATTGCTACCCATCAGTCGGGAATCAATTTGGAGTTGGAAAATTTTAGCTATCTCACTCTTGAGTGTAACGGAGGCTGTCAGGGAAGAGGTCTGGCTGCAGACCGGGTCCGTATGCTACTAGCCTGTGTGCTGCAATCAGGGTCGGCTCTTCCACTAGGCCACCCTAGGCGGTCGCCTAGGGCGGCAGGATTTGGGGGGTGGCATTTTGCCACCCTCGGCGGAAATTCGGCGGCGGGGGGTCCTTCCGCTCCGGGTCTTCTGCGGAAATTCGACGGCGGGTCCTTCACTTGCTCAGGGACCCGCCATCGAAGTGCCCCAAAGATGCGGAGCGGAAGGACCCCTGCCGCCGAATGCTCACAGGAGGAGCGCTGCCGCCTAGGGCGGCAAAAACCCTGGCACCGCTCCTGGCTGCAATGGTGCCTGCTGAAGTATTTGCTTACTGGTGTGAGAAAGCGTCCTGCCGGGGTAGAAGAAATAAGGCAGCCCTCCCCAGAAGCCTTCGGCTGAGGATCGCAGACTCCCTCCAGGAAAGTTTCCTCGAGTTCTCTGTGCAGGATTCACAGGACATCCCAGTGCATGTAAACAAACTGTTCCGCAGGGCCCCCTCTGCCTAGCTGTACAGGGGAATGGGAAGCAGAGAGGAACTCTGCCTCTATTGGTTTTTCACTACCTCTTCTAGCCTGATTAAAAAATAGTAAATGAACAGATGGGTCTCTGCAATAGCAAAGCAAACGGCATACTTACCAGAGGTTCCTTCCCTGCATCAGGCTCACCAGTGCTGGATAGTAGGGACCGGCTCGACTGCTCCGGTGTCAGAAAGAGGTCCTGGTTTGCCACGCCACTGAATCCCCAGTCGTCTGTCCCCCATATTCCTCCTCCTCGTCCAACACCTCACTGTGCACTGCGGGGGGCCTTTCATTCCCCAAAGTATCCACGGGGCTCTTGGCGGTGGTGGTGGGGTCTCCCGCAAGGATGGCACGCAGCTCCTTGTAGAAGCGGTGTGTCTGCAGCTCCGCTCCAGAGCGACTCTTTGCCTTCCTTGCCTTCGGGTATGCCTGCTGCAGCGCCTTGATTTTCACGCAGCATTGCTGCATGTCCCTGTTGTAGCCCTTCTCCTCCATGCCCCGAGAGATCTGCTCGTAGATATCGATGTTTCTATGGCTGGATTGGTGCTGTGTTTCCACAGACTCAGGAGATCCCTCACTTCCTGTGTACTCCAGGCAGGAGCGCGTTTGCTGCGCGGAGCCGGCATGGTCAGCTGGACAGTTGCTAGGTGAGCTCTCCATGCCGAGCAAACAGAAAACGGAATTTAAAATTCGTGGGGCTTTAAAAGAGGAGCATGTACCTGCGTACCTGGCCGGTGCACAGAGGAGTTCAAAATAGTGACCGAAGCGATCACAATGGGGCATTGTGGGACACCTCTTGGAGGCCACTAAAGTTGACGTAAGTAACGCAGTGTCTGTGCTTTCACTGCATCGACCTAAGCACTGTGCCTCTCTGTGGATGTGCAGTTATTAAGTCAACGTAGCGGGTGAGTTACGTCATCGGGAGCAACGTTTTAGTGTAGACGCTCACAGAGTTAGGTCGATGTAAGCTGGCCTCAGCTGGCATGAAAGCAGCTCCATCCTACCCCTTCTGCTTCCCATGGGCCTGGCTGCCAGGGAGAGGGACCGAGCGAGCTGAGGGTGAGGTGCAGCAGGAGAAGGATAGTGCACCTCCCCTCCAGGTAACTCTGGAGAGGACAATGCAGCGTCCCCAGGCCGGGTGCAGGGTGGGGGGCTCTGGGGAAGGCACTGGCAGCAGGCTCCCGTATCCCATGTCTCCCCTGCTGATGTGTCCATGAGGACGTGCGAGCTCCGGGGAGACACTGTGGTGCTATGACTCTCCCTGGGCCGGGGCCCGCCCAGCCCAGACTCACGTGCTCCATGCTTCTGTGGCCCCAACTCCTCAGGAGCCAGCAGATTGGCTGCCGTGGCCCATGGAGGTGGGGCTGGAAGGTTCCTCCCAGAGCCAACACATGGTGCGGCCTTCCCACCTTCACAGTGTACCCCCCCCCGCCATTGTCAGCTAGTCCCAGTTGTCTCTGAGAGTAGACCAGACCAGAAGAAGAGCTCTGTGGAAGCTCAAAAGCTTGTGTCTCTTACCAACAGAAATTGGTCCAATAAAAAATATTACTTTACCCATCTTGTCTCTCTAATATCCTGGGACTGACATGGCTACAACCATACGGCTTGCTTCACAGTAATCAGCCTGGGATCTCAAAAGCTAACTGGGTTTTCTGCCTCTTACATTTCCCCCACTAACAAAGGTTTTGTACTCCTGGAATTTGTCTGAAGGCTTATGGATGATGCTGAAGGCAGAGGGGCTCTGGCTGGCTATCCCCTAGCTACATCTGCTTGTGTCAGCCTTATGAGAGTTGGAAACTTGTTTGGGTCGGTAAAATAAGATGGAGGGTGCACAGATCAAATAGGAGAAGTAAGAAGGTGTCATGCCTCCATAGTCACACTTCTGACGCCCATCCCATTCTGAATCTCCAAAGCATTCCCCTCTGACAAAATGGAACACAGATATCTGCCTTGCAGGTCCCTGGCATAGCCAGTTTATTTTCAGTCATTACAGTGACTCACAGCCTGAGTAATGTGGTCGTGAAATTCATCCCCATCCCCCAGCCTTTGCAGACAGGTGTTCTTTGTGTATAATGCAACATGATTTTTCCTGTTAACTTCCCGAGTTTACAGTTCCTATTTTTATTCCTCAGTCTGTCTACTCCAATAATAGGAATTCATCACACATCTGAATAATAAAAATGAAATTCACACCTCCCTACCCTATCGCCCTCCTCCCTGGCTGCCTTTTTTATTATAAAGATTTATGACTAAGCATGTCCTTAAACAAAAATGCCAGATTCCCTTGATGGAATTACAGCTGCCTTATGTACAGTTGGGTTGTTTTATTTGTAATACCTAGTAAATCTCCTTTTTGGGATGCCAAACTGTTCTGTTGCTTTGCTCGACCCTCCCTCCTCACCCCCAAATCACTTTTGAAATCTACTGTGCTAGCTGTATCTTTCGATCTGTTAGCTATGTCCTAGCCAGCACCTCACTTACGAGGGTGAGGTAAAATGAGTTTGGGGAAGGGATACAGAGCAACGTGAAAAGACCTAGTGGCAATCTGGATCTTAAAACACTCCCAGCTGTGCACAATGAGGCTGTAATTTCTTCTCTGGTTTCTGGTGACATGGGCTTTACGTGCTTGGTGTGTTTATAGGAATCCCGTGTATCCAACCATAGGTCAATACTTGCTGCTTCAGAGGATGATAACCACATCCTCTCCATAATTCATCTAACCAGCTGTGCAGGAGGGAATTTCCTCTTGACTTAGGCAGATAATGAATGAGCTTATACCCTCCCAAAGCATGAAGTTTGATCACCCTTACTGTAGCATGAGATCAGTCACAAATCATCCTTTTTGTCTAGCACCCCTGCCCAGACACAGTGGGAGAGAATCCAAAGTTTGGACAAACCAATCTGTGTTGACCATTATACGACTGCAGAAGAAGCTTGCTGGCTTTGTCTTGTCCTCACTTCATTGTCCACAGCTTCAAGTTACAGGAAAGTTTAGTGAGCAAGTGGTTTGTGATGAGGTCTAACTGATTTTAATGTTCTAGAGAACAATAAAGAGTAAACCAGATAATTTATATAAAATTCAGAAAAACTGCTGTAACGGGTATGCGGTCAGCTTGTGGAAGGGTTTCTGTTACATACTTCTCTGTGTGTTCACCCAACAGATGGTAAGAACTCCGAAGGAACTGTTCAGTCTCTGGGCTAAATGGCCTCGAACCAAGTACTATACCAGGAAACATCATGTAGGAAAGTACATTTATTATAATGAGGACATAGCTGTATTATAGGAAAGTTAAGCTAGAATCTATTGTCTGTGCTTTGATGTTAGCACCTTTTTGCTACAGTTCTCTTTCTAACTCGAGGTTCTTTAAAATTCCCCCCGCTGCTTTTTGTATGGAAATGGGGTGGTCTAGCCAGATCCTAGTTTCGATCATTGTTTTCTGAATCCTTACATTGTCCCTGCTTTTTTCAAGAGGCTCTTACTCTTTTTTACATCCTGTCCTAGGTAGTTGTTATAGAATTGGTGCATGCTGTTAACAGCTGCTGCACCCCCTCTTAGAGGTGGATGCATATGAGTGCTGCCTGGGTTAAATGGCTCCTGCATATGGATCGGTGTATCCATTCCCAAAGTGCTTTGGGATCAGGCAGGTCGAAAGGCCTCCATGTAAAAGTAAAGCACAGTGTCTGATTAACTCTCTCATCATCCAGGGATGCTTGGTAGAGTTGGTCTCACTTTCCACAGCCCAGTCTTAATGTCAGTAGCATCATGATGGGTTCCATTCCAATTACTATTTCTTTTTCTTTTTGAAAACAGAAAGCCCAAAGGAGAGCTCTGAGCCTACCGGTTCCCCTGCTCCTGTCATCCAGCACAGCTCCGTGACAGCATCCCCCAACGAGCTCAACGTCCGCTCTGCAGCTGAAGCTGTTGCCACTTCGGTCCTCACTCAGATGGCAAGCCAAAGGACAGAACTGAGCATGCCCGTACAGTGGCACGTCATTATGGCTCCACAGTCTCAGTCTGCTGGCAGATGATGTCACAAACCACGTGACAAAGAACTAACCCATAAGAACGTGCAGACCGAGAGACTGATCATAGCTAAGTCCCTGCTTAGTGGGGGCAGATATGGATTTTTTTTTTTTAAAGTGAGTTAAGGGCAGCTATGGAAGCTTCTTTATACTGCATATCCTATACAGATCCTGGCCCAAAACCATTGTCATGTGATCACCTGTCCGTACAGGATGGCTTCAGATTGAGGGATTTCTTGATCCCTTAGTGATGGTCAATCAGCTTGCAGAATCATCAGAACACAAAGAGCCTCATTTGAATGCATCTTGAAAGGTTCATTTTCAGGTATCAATTACGTTAACACTAAACCTCCCCTGGCTTGTGGTTTCTCTTGGCATTATTGCTATTTTCAGTTTCACCTGTTAGCAAAGGAAAGTAGCTGTTGGGAGGCTGTGACATTTACTGGTGCTGTCACTTTATTTTTAACAGCTTGCTGCTTCCAATCATCTGTTTCCCCATCACCGCTCTAGCTGACCTGAAATGTTGCACCTTGGCACAAGAATACTGGCCGAGTTTTCCACTCGGGCTATTGAGATTAAAAAGGCTGAGGATAATGGGCTTCCTAACTCCATGGGTTTAACTTCCCTGACACCAAAGCTTTCTGGTTCTGAAGCAAGCCTGGCACCTCTAATTCACATGCAATTAACCATCATTAACTGCTGTAACTTGTGGGGGTTTTAAGTATGTGTTCGCAGTCACTGGTGCAGCAGTCGGAACTGTGAACGTTTCATGTGCTTCTCTCTTAATTGACGCCATAGCTGCTAATGATGCAGGTTCCTTCTTCAGAAAAGGGCCTGCTTATAAATCTTCCATACAACAGTAAAGCAGCACCGAGCTGCTGTCTGCCAGGACTGCGTGCAAAGCTGCTCTGTGTGATGCATGAAAGGATGAGCTGGGGCAGATGGATATAATGCGAGTCCTGGAATTAACCGGCTACAAAATCCACTACCCATCTCAACAAGTCATGAATTTAACAAGCAAACCCCACACATGTCAAAGGATTATCTCCCGTACATTTAACCTGATGACCTTATAAAGTGGTGGCCTTGAACGAAGGGAGGTGGAAGCCTATCCCACTTGCCTGGCCTTTTACCTCTTTTAATGGTTTTCTTCTGCTCCTGGTAGTGGTATATCTGTTGCTTTTCCTCAAGAGCAAATGTAGTACTTTTAGAGCTTCCAGGTTCATGGGGTAGATTTAAAACCAGCCTTGACATTTTAAAGGCACTTGGAATTGTCTGCTTATTGCCAAAGTGAGTGTGTGTGTGTGTACTTTCTTTAGGTTGTCATTGACCTTTTGCTTGCTGGGTAATAGTTGTAGATTTGAATTTGTATTTTGGGAGCCGGAAAGGGATGCTGTGTGAATTTGTGCAACAGCAAACCCATCAGTCGGTGAAACTCTCAGAACTTCATCTTTCTTTCCTTCTTTAAAGACGCTTTTCCTTCAGTTGAGCTCTTTGACATCTTCACCCTGAGCTGCCAGACCACCTCAAATTGCACTTGCCACTTTTGACCGTCAGTAGTTTGGCTTCTCTAGACTTGGAATATTTGCCAGGGACAGCAATACCCAAAGCAAAATCTGAGCATGTAGAATTTGACCCCACCACCACCCCCCCCCAGATACAGGGAAATTCCGTTTATTGCTTTTTTAATTAGGGGTCTCTTCTCCCCCTTTTTTCCCTCAGGTTTCTCCAGGCCTCTCTGCCATATTCTCTAATGTATTTCATGGTCCTAGTTGTCTCTTAATACACTGCCACCATGTGTTTGTCTCACTCTGTCGCACACACTCTCACACATAATCATTCCTGAGATTTTGTGTTTCTTTGCCCTCTCAATATTCAAAGACTCTGGAGCTAGCCGCTCTTGCATCTCTGTTTAGAACCTGTGTGTAGTTACTGCAAGAGGCATTCCAGATCAGGCACTTCATTTTTTTTCCTTAAAGCTGTTTATATAGAGAATTTGCATATAGGAAAGTGCTTTGAGTATAACTGTCCCAACAGGGTGTCTGTTTCCTTGATGACAAAGAGCTATACCATCAGCAGGGTTTTCAGGCTCTTGTGAGGATAATGCAACAACCGTGGAAATGGTTTATAAAGTCTAACGCCCTGATTGGATAAGACACAGAGCCTTTATTTGGCTAAGAATCCAAGACAGAAGGATCATGGCCATGTTGTCAGAAGTCTAATAGGACAGCAGGGAATCTGTTTGTAACTATAACTAGTTTAGTCTCTTGCAGACACTTCACTGTCTTGTAAAGAAATAGGGTGCATAGCTCTGACGGATTCATTAGAATAGCTGGATTCATATGTGTGGCTCAAGAGGCCCAAACAGCTTCTCCATGATAACTGATCATGCTCCACTTCCAGCCTGCATGCTAACATTAGTGTCTCAAAGCTAGTGGATGTTTAGCAAGAGGTAGGGGAAGCCCATTTTAACACCAGCACCAGTGCATGTTAAAACAGCACCACTGGGTAAATACTGCCTATTGATAGCCTTAACACATGCATAAAGCAGCCTTCAAATACCTTCAGCTGTTAAGAGGCTGGCAGCTCAAGGATACAGCTGCACAATAGACTGTACAGAAGGGGATAGGGTGGTAAGTACAGCTTCAGTTGGACAAGTGTGAAAAGGCTTTAACCGAAAGTGAATTTGCTTTGGTGCTCACAAACCGTATTAATTTCCATGGAGACTTGTACAAGGGACCATTTTTTTGGTCGGTGGAAATCAACACGCATGTGCACGTATGTGTGTTTGCACAGCTATCTTGGAATTGTTTCTTTCCTTCTTCCTGCTCCTCGAACTCTTAGTTGGAACTGAAACAATACCATGCGACTTAGGTGACCAGTCACATTTCAAACAGGGAGGAATCAAAGGCCGAGTAGAATGGAATAGGTTCCCAGCACCGCATAAGCTGCAGTGGATTTGTGTAATGAGTTTGAAAGCTTCAGATTGCAAACAGACTTGTAAAAACCAGTCCATTGAGCAAAAACGGACAACGTTTTTTTTAACGGATTCTGTTCTAAATAGATCACTCTGCTACAGTCACGACTAAGGGTCTGTCTGCTCAGTAGAAACTGCACATGGGCTAGCTGAATCCAGCTACTCAAGACAGCAAGCCAGTTATGTACCCAGGGTCCATGCTGGGCTTGTGCTCCCCTGAGCTGCAGCTCGTACCATGTTGTGTTCACTGCTACTGTTACCCGTGCTAGCTGGATTAAAGCTAGCTCAAGTAGACTAGCCTATGCACGGCTTTTGCTGTGTAGACAGACCCTAAACTGCTGATTCTTTTCTTCCCAGCACCTGTCTTTGCAATGGGAGGGGCTTAAGAGGTTCAGAAAACAGGGAGATGCTTGAAGTGGAAAAACTCACCAAGTGTCATGTAATGGACTCTGGTCCCTGCTCGCTACTGGCCCCTTGTGGTCAGTTGTGGTGTTGTAAGATCCTCCATCTTAATTCCTCCTTCCTAGGACTTCTTCCCGTAAGTTCAAAACAGGTTTTGTATTGCAAAACAGCCCTTTTTTCAACAGAAAATCCCCCAAATAAGGAAAAAACCTCAGGCCTCTGGTCCCATTCTTGTTCCTTCTTAAAAGGACCAGTCATCCAGACACACAACAACCCAGTCAAGGGTATTTCTCACACGCCACGGTCTCTGACAGTCTGAACTGTGGGGTTGCTTCTCCCTGGGGTCTGGAGGCAGACATTCAGGTAGCTATGGGTAGTGGGTGATTTTGCTGTAGATCCTGACTCAAGGGGTTTGAGTGAGCAGGAGAAAGCAGAAGAATTATAGGTACTATAGTCTTTAGTCACTACAGCTGTAAGTACAGCAACCATCGTATTCGTTACCAAAGTGGTGTGGAACTGATTGAGAGGTGTGTGAACTTGCTCCCTGGGACAGTACAGCATTAGTGTAAAATCTGGCTGCTTTTTGCTCTCCTTACTTAACCACTGGGGATCAAAAATTACACAAGTCTGCGATCTGGAAGTTGCTACCAGGTCCTGCCAGAAAACTACGGCTGGCCAGACAGAGCAGTGACTATCGGGAGCTGAGACCTCATGCCCTACTGGGTGCTAGAAACATACAGTGTACCCACGGAATATTTCCTGCCCTGACAAATCACCAGATACCAGACCTTAAAATCTTGTCCTTCTGATTACCATCTTGTGCCCCATCATTTCAGTTCTGACATGGTTTGTGTGTATGCTCTCCTGAACTTACAGAGCTATAAACTAATGCTTTCTACCATCTGGAAGCAGCCGGGAATTCCATCTTTCAGATGATGTGTAAAGCATTAATCTTTATGGGGGTTCATGAGCAGCTACTAAACATCCAGCCAGAATTGAAGTTTAGAGGAGGGGAAAGCAAGATGATAATTTGTGTGACATGATTTTTTATGTACGCTGTCAAGTTAAATCACACTTCAGTCTGACAATTTTTACCTCCTCTTTATAGGTGATGCCTAATATTGCTAGCAGTTGGAGATCAAAAATAATTATTTGTAAACTTTTTTCCCCCTGTATATTTACTCTGCATATTTAGCAATATCTTAGTCGGGTTTCAGTATTTCTCCTCTGTCACTTAGTCAGTTCCCCTGTATGTTTGAATCATTAGTGTGTTAAAGGGAGAAACATCTTAGGAAAATGTGCCTGTAAAACTGCAAACGTTGGCAGGAGTGCTCAGGAGACATGTAGACCAGAAACTGCTTTTAATGGCAATTGACTAGATTTCAAGCTGACTGTTTCCCCTTGAAGTGTGTGTCACTGGACATGCTAAAACAATGTTCAGTGTTTAAAATATTTGTATGTATTTAAATAGAAAACTCAGTAGTTTCACAGAAGAGGTGGAAGTGAGTTTAATCTCCAGCAGAGTCTGAGCGTGTCTGAGTCCCAGGCTGCTGAAGACAAACAGTTTCTCTTTCTGTGTTCAAAATAGGTACATGGGCATGAAACTTTCTCCAACTTCCTTCCTGGGGCCTAGGGAGCTCCTTGGTAATGAGCTTAGCACTCAGATGTCCTCTCTGACTTCCCTGGGAGAAGGAAATGCAGCAAGGAGACAGAATTTTAACTTTGGCACCTTTGAGATGTTCTGCAGAACAAACTCAGGATAGCAAACGTAATCCATCCCCTATCTCCCTCAGCATGGTTCCTGGATCAGTGATCAGAATAAAACATATTCTGTTCCTACTCAGTGTCCATTTCAACTAAGGCTTGCCACTGAATGAATGTATTGCTAGAGCAGCTCCAGATTTGGTGGTTCCCCACAACTATGTAGCTAGCTTAATAGTATACAAGACAGCTTAGCTTTCACTGACAAGCTGATCTTTGCCTGGCCTTAGTAAAAAGGACAAACGTAGAAGAAGTAAACAGGAGTTTCGGACGTGTAAATCCCCTTCGTTATGGGGCACACACCTGCCTGGTACTACCTTGTGAAAAGCAATCATGACTGTGCAAAATGTTTTAAACAGGTTAAAGGTTTTTTTTTAAAGTATTTCATTTTAATCTCCCCAATCCTGATTTTAATATCAGCCCTTCCCTTCCCTCCCAAGTTCCTTCCTGTGAGCTAGCCTGAAATGTAAATAGGCTGAGAGCTGTTTCCCATCCATTTTGAAGCAGACACATCTATATAGAATGTTCTCATCTATCCCACTTCACGTAGAGGGCCTGATCCTCGGCGATGCCAAGAGCACTCCTCTCCCATTGAAACCAGGAAGAGCTATGGTTGCTAAATATCTTGCAGGAAGCATCACTGGATTGAGGCCCATAAGGGAGAGATGCTACCAAAGAGCCCTACTAGCTCCAGTAACCTGTGGCAAAATCCTTTGCTGTTTTCTTACCAAAATGAAGTGGTGCGGTTCATTGCATGCAGACAGCACTTCCTGATCCGCTCTTACCGCATAGGAAGGATGTCCATCTGTGAGTTGTCTGTCAAGCAAACGAGTAATTGTGCTTTTAACTAGATTAGTCACCTGTATGGGAGTTATCAGGGCGGTAACCTAGGGAGAGGATGGGCTCTGGAGATGCAAAAACCCCAGAAGATAACATCGGATTTCAGATTTGTTGGTTTCAATGGACAACTACTTCGGTGCTAAGATTTGAATTGTAGGGGCCCCGTTTTTCCACTGGGGCCTCATTTAATCGCAACGGCATGGCTTTGCTCATGCAAATAGCCTGGCTGTGCTCGAGTAAATAAATACTGCAGACATAGAGGAGGCCTGCTGAAAAGATGTGGCCCGTGTGAAGTTCTGTCCTGTAGCCAAGCAGCGTTTACAGCCCCTGAGGAGCCTTTATATCATGAGGAATATCATTCACTGACTGTTGAGTGTGTGTTTAGAACAATTATGAAACCAGTTGCTAGGTTATTCCTTTAAATCACCAGCTTTTCCATAATTTGCATCTTTGCCTAGAGATGATTTCCTATTAATCTGTGTGTAAAATTACTGATCACTGTCGAGGAAGTCCTACCTTCTTGGTCATTGGTTATGGCTTTCTGTGAGCATCCTTGCCGCTAACAAGGGTTGTACATGTTGGGAATTTCCTTCCAGATCTATAGATGGGGGATGCCCTTTTTTATCCCATTTTCCTGTGCTGGCTCAGCTACCCACATAAAGGCTGCGCATCCTCATGGACTTGTTCGGTGACAGCTGCTTTTTCAACCTTTTTTGCCTTCCCAGTCTCCGGGCTTTTCAGGCAGCCTTCCCAATATCATCGTAGGGCTTGGAGTTAGCTAAAGTGACTTTCCCCGGCCATCCCTGTTGCTTCAGCGATTAGTTGTCTTAGGCCAAAGGGGGCCGTGACTAATGCCATTTTCAATTAATTGACTGTCCACACTTACTTTTCATGAAAATTTCTCCTCCTGGGAACGACACAGAATGTTTTGGATTGCATGTGATCTTTGGCCCTTATGTGTGGCCTACTTCACAGTGGGAAAATGATCCCCTCCTGGCTTATTTCACGAGGCCAGGAAAAATATTGCAGTGTTTAAAAGTACCTTTAAGTTCTTATTGAGCAAGGACTAAGCACTAGCTGTAGGATCATACTCATTCAGAGCGGTATTTTTTAATCAGTGTTTACCACCGTTATAATAGAAACAAATAATAATAAATTAGAGGCAATTATGATAGACGTGCATTTCTTTCCCTACAACATCAGAATGTCGAACCCCATGACAATCTCAGCAAGAATCTAGCCTGGCCCTCAGGGTCTCATAGCAGAGAGAAACTAATTTTCTCCTTTTGTTCTCCCAAGCCCATCCAATTAAGACTAAAAAGATCGGATCCCTCTGTATATCTCTTGAATTCCACTGTTGCTTTTTGATAAAATTAGGTGTGGAGTAGGACCTCAACCAAAGCATTAGTGTTGCCTCTTCCTTGTCGCTGTGGCTTGACAACACTCTGATTGGTAGAAAATAAAATTTAAAAAAAATCTAAAGTGAACAACAAAACAAAACAGGGCTCCTGACAGAGAGCTCTTCGATGTGAGAGCAGCTGGCACTAATTCCTTGCCTTCATTGTAGCTTTTCTCTCATCTTTGTCATGGCATGTACACATGTACAGTACACATACCTGGGGTAGTAATCTTGTACTCAAAAGCTCTTGTTACTATTAGGGTTGAGTATTAATGGTCATGAAATGACTAGCACCTTTAAGAGCTCATCTGACAGAATTGTGGTGCCTTTGCTTTAAGATTTCTTTTGGTTGCCAGCCAAAAGAGATGCAAGTTCGTTGGGAGGAGGGGTGGGTTGGAGGACCAGGCAGGGCTGGGTTATGAAATTGAGTAAGTCCCGTCTTCTGTGGGTCTGCAGCCAAGTACAAACAAAAATCCCCACTTTTCAGCTCAGCTCAGGTCCTTTGGCTCCTGTATTAGCAAGTTCAGGGCAATAACTGGGAGGTCTCGACTTATCAGCACTATGCTGGTGAAGGAGCTAATTTTCTAGTACTTTTGACTTAAATATATCATCCAGAGTGTGCTGCAGTTCCCTGAGAGCAGGAGCACTTTGCTGGTCTCATTCCAAAAGGCAATTTAGTGTCGGTTCTCAGTGGACTAGGGAACTGCATGGTGAGAAAGCTGTGGGTTTTGTGGGTTAACCTCTGTGATTGTGGAACTCCGGCCGCGTGGAGCAGCCTATTTTGTAACTGATTTTTTTTCTCAAAGATTCGCCATCTCCGTGGGAGAGGAGGGGAGACTGGAGTTCGCTTTTGTGTTATAAAACCAGGTGGGCCTCTTACCCGGTTTTACAGTCAGGGTGGATAAAGTACACAGGAGTCCTGTGACTTGATTAGAGGACCCAGTGAGCCCAGGATGCTCCTGAATCCTCTAGTCCCATGTTGTAACCACTAGTCAGTGTGATTTTCCACTTCGTTGGGGGTGCTGTTAACCACCCCGTTAAGCAGGTGCTTGATTCCTGCCCTGAGCTGACTGCTGTCATCCACCTCCAATCCCGAGTTCTTAAATTCACCCTGCCGCCCCGACTCCATGACCTGAATCACTACGTACTTTTTTTCTTTTAAGCTTTTCTCCAGCAGGAGACCTAGGATAATGTTTCTGCATCAAACATACAGTTTCTATTTACGAGACGCAGCACCAGGAGAACTCAGGATAGGAGAGTCCTGAGGCAGGATGGGTAGTTATGTGAAGCGTTTCCTTTTTCCACCCATAACCCATTGTTTACCCAAATGAAATGTAAGGAACTCTCTAAGCCAACCCACCCCCACATGTGTGTTTCTTATACATTAGACACAAGCCTTCGACTCCTTTTGACAGTCTGGCCTAGCTTCAGACAAGAAACATATGAAAACATACGTGTCCTTAGCGAGAGCCACTTGGAACTTGAATATCAAACGTGCTGAGCTCTGTTCTGAACCTAGAAGCTGTGGCTTTAAAGCAGGGTGTTCCTTTTACAGCCCATATTGACAAAGGGGGGTGAGGTCATATTTTTTATTGGACCAATATCTGTTGGTGAGGAAGACAAGCTTTCAGGCTATACAGAACTCTTCTTCGGGTCTGGGGTATCTCTCACTGACAGAAGTTCCTCCAATAAAAGATATTACCTCACCCACCGTACCTCTCCTGTCCTGGGACCGACCCGGCTACAACGACACTGCGTACAAAGGTTCGATTAAGCAGGCCTGGCATCGGACTCACCTGTGAGATTTGCTTATTGGCAGGCTTACAGGCGAGACATCAATCCCCTCGAAACTTAATCATGTAGCATTACCTAGTGCACCTTGGTTGCAGCCCCAGTTATGTGCGACACAAATGAAGGGGTCCTTTATTTTGTATTATGTCTGATTGGTTAATTTCCAACCCCAGCAATAGAGGTATAAGGTGCTTCTGGGTCAGAGGCAGACTGAATGTACAGTGAGGTGTCAGCAGTGTTAGGCAGAGGTTTCATTGAGGTTTAGAGCTTTGGGCTCTAAATCCGCATTTCCAGTTGAGACCTTGATGCCTTGGCTGTTTCTGGCTGCTGCTTTGGTGCCCTCTACTGGAATCTGTCGCACTGTACAGACTGAGGCCTTGGAAAGCCGACCCCACACATTGTTTTGTGTGGAAGGGCTACTTTGTTCAATGTAACAGCTGGCACCGATGCATAGAATTTCACTTTGATTTTAGTCTCCTTAGTCAGGGCTGTGCCCTGGGC